TATCATTCTATAGCTGATGATACATAGGTATCATCAGTTATAGAATGATACCTATGGATTATCAGGTATAGAAGGATACCTATGGATCATCAGTTATAGAAGGATACCTAAGTATCATCAGTTATAGAAGGATACCTTTTTATCATCAGTTCTAGAATGATACTTTTGTATCATCAGTTATAGAATGATATCTTTGTGTTATCAGTTATAGAATGATACCTATGTATCATCAGTTATAGAATGATACTTTTGTATCATCAGTTATAGAAGGAAACCTTTGTATCATCAGTTATAGAAGGATACTTTTGCTTAATCTGTTATAGAATGATACCTATGTATCATCAGGTATAGAAGGATACCTATGTATCATCAGTTATAGAAGGATACCTATGTATCATCAGTTATAGAATGATACCTATGTATCATCAGTTATAGAAGGATACCTTTGTTTCATCAGTTATAGAAGGTTACCTATGTATCATCAGTTATAGAAGGAGACCTTTGTGCTATCAGCTATAGAATGATACCTTTGTGCTATCAGTTATAGAATGATACCTTTGTGCTATCAGTTATAGAATGATATCTTTGTGTTATCAGTTATAGAAGGATACCTTTTGTGTTATTAGTTATAGAAGGATACCTTTGTGCTCTCAGTTATAAAAGGATACCGTTGTGCTATCAGTTATAGAAGGAGACCTTTGTGCTATCAGTTAAAGAATGATACCTTTTGTGTTATCAGTTATAGAAGGATACCTTTGTGCTATCAGTTATAGAATGATTCCTTTGTGCAATCAGTTATAAAAGGATACCATTGTGTTATCAGTTATAGAAGGATACCTTTGTTATCAGTTATATAAGGATACCTTTGTGTTTTCAGTTATAGAAGGATACCATTGTTTTATCAGTTATAGAAGGATACCTTTGTGCTATCAGGTATAGAAGGATACCATTGTGTTATCAGTTATAGAATGATACCTTTTGTGTTATCAGTTATAGAAGGATACCTTTGTGCTATCAGTTATTGAAGGAGACCTTTGTGTTATCAGTTATAGAAGGAGACCTTTGTTATCAGTTATAGAAGGATACCTTTGTGCTCTCAGTTATAGAAGGAGACCTTTGTGTTATCAGTTAAAGAAGGAGACCTTTGTTTTATCAGTTATAGAAGGATACCTTTGTGTTATCAGTTATAGAAGGAGACCTTTTTGTTATCAGTTAAAGAAGGAGACCTTTGTTTTATCAGTTATAGAAGGATGCCTTTGTGTTATCAGTTATAGAAGGATACCTGTGTGCTATCAGTTATTGAAGGATACCTTTGTGTTATCAGTTATAAAAGTATACCATTGTGCTATCAGTTATTGAAGGATACCTTTGTGTTATCAGTTGTAGGAGGAGTTCTTTGTTATCAGTTATAGAATGATACCTATGTATCATCAGGTATAGAAGGATACCTATGTATCATTAGGTATAGAAGGATACCTATGGATCATCAGTTATAGAAGGATACCCATGTATCATCAGTTATAAAATGATACCTTTGTATCATCAGTTATAGAAGGATACCTTTGTGCTGTCAGTTAAAGAAGGATACCATTGTGCTATCAGTTATAGAAGTAGACCTTTGTGTTATCAGTTATAGAAGGAGTCCTTTGTGTTATCAGTTATAAAAGGAGACCTTTGTTCTATCAGTTATAGAAGGAGACCTTTATTATCAGTTATAGAAGGATACCCATGTATCATCAGTTATAAAATGATATCTATGTATCATCAGTTATAGAATGATACCAATGTATCATCAGTTATAGAATGACACCAATGTATCATCAGGTATAGAATGATACCTATGTATCATCAGTTATAGAAGGAGACCTTTGTGTTATCAGTTATAAAAGGATACCATTGTGCTATCAGTTATAGAATGATTCCTTTGTGTTATCAGTTATAAAAGGATACCATTGTGCTATCAGTTATTGAAGGATACCTTTGTGTTATCAGTTATAAAAGGATGCCATTGTGCTATCAGTTATAGAAGGATACCTATGTATCATCAGTTATAGAAGGATACCTTTGTGTTATCAGTTATAGAAGGAGACCTTTGTGCTATCAGTTATAGAAGGAGACCTTTGTGCTATCAGTTATAAAAGGATACCATTGTGTTATCAGTTATAAAAGGATACCATTGTGCTATCAGTTATAGAAGGAGACCTTTGTGCTATCAGTTATAGAAGGAGACCTTTGTGTTATCAGTTATAAAAGAATACCATTGTGTTATCAGTTATAAAAGGATACCATTGTGCTATCAGTTATAAAAGGATACCTTTGTGTTATCAGTTATAAAAGGAGACCTTTGTTCTATCAGTAATAGAAGGATACCTTTGTGTTATCAGTTATAGAATAATACCTTTGTGTTAGTTATAGAAGGAGACCTTTGTGTTATCAGTTATTGAAGGATACCTTTGTGTTATCAGTTATAGAAGGATACCTTTGTTATCAGTTATAGAAGGATAACTTTGTTATCAGTTATAGAAGGATAACTTTGTGCTATCAGTTATAGAAGGAGACCTTTTTGTTATCAGTTATAGAAGTAGACCTTTGTTCTATCAGTTATAGAAGGATACCTTTGTGTTATCATTTATAGAAGGAGACCTATGTTATCAGTTATTGGAGGATACCTTTGTGTGGATACCTTTGTGTTTTCATTTATAGAAGGAGACCTTTTTGCTAGCAGTTGTAGAAGGAGACCTTTTTGGTATCAGTTATAGAAGTATACCTGTGTGCTTTCAGATATATAAGGAGACCATGGTGTTATCAGTTATAGAAGGAGACCTTTGTTATCAGTTATAGAAGATTACCTGTGTGCTATCAGTTATAGAAGGAGACCTTTGTTATCAGTTATAGAAGGATACCTGTGTGCTATCAGTTATAGAAGGAGACCTTTGTGTTATCAGTTATAGAAGTAGACCTTTGTTATCAGTTATAGAAGGATACCTTTGTGTTATCAGTTATAAAAGGAGACCTTTGTTCTATCAGTTATAGAAGGATACCTTTGTGTTATCAGTTATAAAAGGAGACCTTTGTTCTATCAGTTATAGAAGGATACCTTTGTGTTATCAGTTATAGAACGAGACCTTTGTTATCAGTTATAGAAGGATACCTGTGTGCTATCAGTTATAGGAGACCTTTGTTATCAGTTATAGAAGGATGCCTGTGTGCTATCAGTTATAGAAGGAGACCTTTGTGTTATCAGTTATAGAAGGAGACCTTTGTTATCAGTTATAGAAGGATACCTTTGTGCTATCAGTTATAGAAGGATACCTTTGTGCTGTCAGTTAAAGAAGGATACCATTGTGCTATCAGTTATAGAATGATTCCTTTGTGTTATCAGTTATAAAAGGATACCTTTGTGCTATCAGTTATAAAAGGATACCGTTGTGCTATCAGTTATAGAAGGAGACCTTTGTGCTATCAATTAAAGAATGATACCTTTTGTGTTATCAGTTATAGAAGGATACCTTTGTGCTATCAGTTAAAGAATGATTCCTTTGTGCTATCAGTTATAATAGGATACCATTGTGCTATCAGTTATAGAAGGATACCTTTGTGTTATCAGTTATATAAGGATACCTTTGTGCTATCAGTTATAGAATGATTCCTTTGTGCTATCAGTTATAAAAGGATACCATGGTGTTATCAGTTATAGAAGGATACCTTTTGTGTTATCAGTTATAGAAGGATGCCTTTGTGCTATCAGTTATAGAAGGATACCATTGTGCTATCAGTTATAGAAGGATACCATTGTGCTATCAGTTATAAAAGGATACCATTGTGCTATCAGTTATAGAAGGATACCATTGTGTTATCAGTTATAGAAGGATACCTTTGTTATCAGTTATAGAAGGATACCTTTGTGTTATCAGTTATAGAAGGATACCATTGTTTTATCAGTTATAGAAGGATACCTTTGTGCTATCAGTTATAGAAGGATACATTTGTTATCAGTTATAGAAGGATAACTTTGTGTTATCAGTTATAGAAGGATACCATTGTTTTATCAGTTATAGAAGGATACCTTTGTGTTATCAGTTATAGAAGGAGACCTTTGTTCTATCAGTTATAGAATGATACCTTTGTGTTATCAGTTATAGAATGATTCCTGTGTTATCAGTTATAGAATGATTCCTTTGTGCTATCAGTTATGGAAGGAGACATTTGTGTTATCAGTTATAGAAGGATACCTTTGTGTTATCAGTTATAGAATAATACCTTTGTGTTATCAGTTATAGAAGGATACCTTTGTGCTATCAGTTATAGAATGATTCCTTTGTGCTATCAGTTATAGGAGACCTTTGTGCTATCAGTTATAGAAAGAGACCATTGTGCTATCAGTTATAGAATGATACCTTTGTGCTATCAGTTATAGAAGGAGACCTTTGTGTTATCAGTTATAGAAGGATACCTTTGTGTTATCAGTTATAGAAGGATACCTTTGTTATCAGTTATAGAAGTAGACCTTTGTGCTATCAGTTATAGAAGGATACCTTTGTGTTATCAGTTATAGAATGATACCTTTGTGCTATCAGATATAGAAGGAGACCTTTGTGTTATCAGTTATAGAATGATACCTTTGTGCTATCAGATATAGAAGGAGACCTTTGTGTTATCAGTTATAGAATGATACCTTTGTGCTATCAGATATAGAAGGAGACCTTTGTGTTATCAGTTATAGAATGATACCTTTGTGCTATCAGATATAGAAGGAGACCTTTGTGTTATCAGTTATAGAATGATACCTTTGTGCTATCAGATATAGAAGGAGACCTTTGTGTTATCAGTTATAGAATGATACCTTTGTGCTATCAGATATAGAAGGAGACCTTTGTGTTATCAGTTATAGAAGGATACATTTGTATTATCAGTTATAGAAGGATACCTTTGTGTTATCAGTTATTGTTATTATGGATACATGTTTGTCGCATTTGGGTTTTTGAACGATCTATTAGGTTCTTGTGTTTTATTGCAAGCATTCCTATCAATTTCATATCACACATTTTATTGCATTCTAAATTAGAGACTTCTTATAGTTGATTAGACATGCGCACAACGTTGTTGGACTTGTAACAAATCAAATACGTCATAAGGAAGATTTCGTAGCAGTTAGGTGTCAAGCAAACCTGATAGATTTGTGATTGTGATTTCATTTGTAGACAGGATATTTTCGGCTTCATTTCCTCATCAGCAATGTGCATGTGTGCATATTTTAATATTCTTTGCATATTTAAGTTTAATAATCTGTTAAGTCATAGTACTATAATTCAAAATAGGACTGCAGGAAGATCGAATGATGCGCATTCTGCATATTAATTTGTCTACAACCAAATGTAATTCGTTACTCATATTTATCGTTGGTTTTGATGATAACTTCATATTATCTCTTCTTTAAAATAAGCATTTCAATAAATTGGACAACTGAGATCAAGAATTGGCCAGCTATATCCAAGATTATAATAATATAAATCACAAGAGTAGGTTAACGAAAACCAAAAAACAATTGTATTCTACAATCAGGTCTTTTTATCAGAAAATCCATGCAGATCAAGACAGACCCAGAAGATCCACGCAGATCCAGACAGACCCAGGATATCCACGCAGATCCAGACAGTCTCAGACGATCCACGCAGATCCAGACAGACCCAGACGATCTATACAGATTCAGACAGACCCAGAAGATCAACGCAGATCCAGACAGACTCAGACGATCCACGCAGATCCAGACAGATAATCTTGTCGATATAGCTACTGTTAATAGTCTGTCGATATAGCTACTGTCAATAGTCTGTTGATAAAGCTACTGTTAATAGTCTGTTGATATAGCTACTGTCAATATTTTGTTGATATAGCTACTGTCAAAAGTCTGTTGATATAGCTACTGTCAAAAGTCTGTTGATATAGCTACTATCAATAGTCTGTTGATATAGCTACTGTCAATAGTCTGCTGATATAGCTACTGTCAATAGTCTGTTGATAAAGCTACTGTTAATAGTCTGTTGATATTGCTACTGTCAATAGTCTGTTGATAAAGCTACTGTCAGTAGTCTGTTGATATAGCTACTGTTAATAGTCTGTTGATAAAGCTACTGTTAATAGTCTGTTGATATAGCTACTGTCAATATTTTGTTGATATAGCTACTGTCAATAGTCTGTTGATATTGCTACTGTCAGTAGTCCGAGAAGTTAAATATGTCGTCCATGGCTGAGTTTCTTATCTCGTGAGCTTTGATCACGTCCATCAGTTGGTCTATTCTAGCTACCACCTCTTCAGCCACTCCAATGCTACGTTTGGGTTTCGTATATGTGTCGTACTCGCCACTGGTTCTACGACCAAAATAAGCCTTGTGAAGTTGAAGCAACCACCGACTCTCATCCCTAGCACTATCTCCACAGACACACTCCAGAGTGGAGACAAAACTCTCGGCGCGGGTGAAGTCGTGTAACATTTTATAATGTTGTATTTTGAAGTGTAGCAATGCTTCCTTGTGTGTGACCTTGACCCTCCGATCCTTCCGTCGTATGATCGTCGCTATTATGTCGTCAACCACAGGCAAGTCTGTATCACAGTATACCAAGTAGTTTGCGTTGTCATTAAACACGTCGTCCCAGTCTCCGGGGGTCGAGTCATGGTACGTTGAGAGTTTCTCGAACGTTTTACTAGCATCAACAATTAAGGGGAAAATTCGCTCTGCGTTTCCATGTTCTAGTTCCAATTTATCTTTTAGCTTTGCTAATATTCCATTTGATTGCTCATGCATACCAATCTGTTCGTATCGTTTGGCTAAAAGAGTTCTCCGAATATAATAGGAGTCTAAGTTATTAGTTTCTTCCGGAAACGTCGTGAAGGTGTCTGGTTCTTCATCGTAATCCTTATCTTCCGCAATCGTTGTGAACTGGGATGATCCGTCATCTATTGGTGTCCACGACGACGACGTTTCCTCCGCCACGTGACGAACACGATCGTACACTATCTCAATTTGAGAGTCACTGACATCATCAGCCCCATAGTCTGTCGCTTGTTCTACTCGGCTTTCCCCAGACGACTCGCCAACCGGGCCATCAAGTGAAGACATGTGTTTAACAGGCTCTGTGGAGTCTGTTGCTGTTCCCATTCGGCTTTCCCCAGACGACTCGCCTACTGGACCATCAAGTGATGACATGTCTTTACTAGGCTCTGTCACAGACGAGTGGGACACGTCGATATGGACATTTTTTGGATTATGTGCACTCCTTTCAATCATGATATCCTCGTTATTTTTGTCTCGGATCGGTCGTCCGCCTCCGTCCTCGACAGATCCCACTTCTCTGTGTGTGTCTTCTGAAGACGACCGGGTGACGTCACATCTGTCATCAGGGAAAAGATACGCAGAGAGAAATGTAATGAGATTATCGACCTCATCCGTTTCTCCGAGACGGATAAAGAAATTGATGCTGTCTAGGTAAACAGTGGTGTCTGGTACAAGTGTTTCCATGGCATCTCGGTACATCTTTCTCGCTGTGGCTAAAGAAGCAGACTTTTCAGAGAGAGGAAGTGTTGACCTTATGGATAATACTCGCCCGTACAACATCAGAAAATAAGATCGACGAACATCCGAAACACATCGTATATCCTCTTCATCTGTATTCAGAAAAGGTTGGAGTATTCGCAGGCTATAGAGAGCCGAGGCTGTATCCCCCGACACATAACTACACACGGCAGCAGTCAGGTGTAGGTCCGCCTTCCTCTCTATAGTCGTGTCCAGATTTAACCTCTGGTCAAATTTGATTGCGTCCTGAGCGTACCCATATGCCGAGTGTAGGTTTCCCTTGTACAGGTGAGCTTTAGCCAGGGAGACGAGAGTATCTATATAGACCAGCTTGCTGTGAGATCCAGTCGGCTTCATCTCGTCCACGAGGGGAGCAAACACACGTCGCCGGATACCATGGGGTAATGCCAAGTGTTTGTCCTGTCTTAGTATCATGTCGAGAGGATTGATCCTGAGTTCATACAGAGGCAGCAGAACCGCCTCTAAGTGTTCATCCATTGATCTCGTGCGACCGCCTACTTCGATGAAATCTTTTTCGTATTTCGCAAGGAGATTCATACCCGGTATGAAGTAATGTGACAGTCTACGCGAGCGGATACATGATATATATTGGTCTACAATTGTAAACATGAGTGACCCCATATTTCTGCTTCTCCAGCGATCTGCAGGGGAGTTCTCGCTAAGTCGATACATCAAGTTGAGAAAGTGATATGAACCACCTATGTCAAAGGCTTTCATTAAATGAACAAGCTCACGCTGAACACGCGTAAACGAACGTGATAATAACATTTCTGCACGTGAAAAAGATATCCGCCATTGGAAGTCCTCCATATTACTTCCGAAATGTCCTACTGGCACTATCATACACCCGATTCTGTTGTGTATCTCACGCTTTAAGTCCTCACTCGGCCACCCGTACTTGATATCACGTGATATCCATTCACGTGCCTGCGAGGGCCATCCTGGATACGGCAACGCGATCACGATATCTGTGTTAAGGGTGGAAGTCATGGGAAATCCTCTGCTCGTTAGAAAAGCATTCACTGCCGGACCTTGTGTATTTACAAACGAAAGGACAGGACCGTACCCAGATTCGGGAAAGGATGTTTGTTGTGTGAAAGGCGTTCCTGTGTATTTTTGCTTGATAAACATTTTTGCATCATTCCAGTATTCGAACCTCGCTTTCATGGCTGCAGAACTAGACACGTAGCGCTGTTGTAAAGAGACCTGAGAAGCTGAGAACCGCTGACATTTTCGGAGAAGGATATATCCGGCGTTTTCGGACGGCTCTACGTTCAGGTAGGCAGTGTCTGACCCACACGTCACGTTCATCCGGCTGGCGCTCGGACAAACATCACGGTCGCGTTCGTTTTCCACCTCAGCTCGTTCACCACTGTACAGTTCAGTTTGCTTATCATTGTCGTACTCACACTCTGTTCTTATATCATATTTCTTTAGAATTGTCACAATATCAAAATCCCGTAGATCGGAAAGACGAATAGAATTCAGGAAAAAGCCATGGCCACAACTCCCGCCAAGGTAAACACTGGACCTTCCGACATCATAGAGTTCCAATGGGTAGCGCGTCATCAACATATCAGATATTTCTAGGAAGAAATATTTGAGCTCGAAGCCATAGTACAACATAAAGACCACAGAGGACAATGGAACACCGGATACAGTATCAATGGAATCGTCGGACAAAACCCAATCAATCGTTTCTTCATCCATCTCGACAGAGGGCACTTCTCTAACAGATCCAATAGTGGAATAAAGCTACGTTGCATCCATCTCCTAGTGATTGTCAGGATCTGTAATAAAAGAAAGTGTGATTACTCTACCAGATTTTATCTCAATAAGGACAGAAAAGTATTAGCATGCTGCAGTTATCAACCTTTTTATTAAATGGAAACAAGGAAACATGATTATATCTGTTCTAGCGATATATTCATCTAATAAATGTAGGAAAATGTATACAGCGCGTGCGTCGGGTTTAGGTATGGGACTGTTTGCATCATCTGCACATGGTTGACACAACAGAAAGCATCACTTGAGTCTTGACCATCTTAAGTAATAAAGGGGAACATGTTCATCTAGTCCACCTCAAGATGAGGCTGGTTGATTATAGGAGAACGCAAAACGTGCTTTTGGTTAACATACGTGCATGGTCGACATTAATAGATATAAAGAGGAGGAGGCAACATGTAAGTCTGACCCAAGCTAGTGGCAGGATGCTGCACGTGCGTCTGGTCCTGATAAGGCACGAGACACCGCATGCATATGGTCCAATCTCGGAGACAGCTAGACAGAACGTCCTTCTGAACCACACTAGTAGACAACATGTGCGTCTGGTCTACACTAGTAGACATGAGACAACATGTGCGTCTGGTCTACACTAGTAGACATGTGACAACATGTGCGTCTGGTCCACACTAGTAGACATGAGACAACATGTGCGTCTGGTCTACACTAGTAGACATGAGACAACATGTGCGTCTGGTCCACACTAGTAGACATGTGACAACATGTGCGTCTGGTCCACCTTTGGAGAAGAGCAGCAGCACGTGCACATGGTCCACTAAAGTAGAGATGAGTTAGCACGTGTTTTTTGATCCACCCCTAAGAGACAGGCGACAGCACGTGCGCTTGATCCACCTTTTGAATAAAGCATGCAGATGATATAGATGATGTTGTACATGAATCCTGATCAAAAGACATGACTGGCTATTTGTTGCTCGTATTACATTTGTATAAACAGAGTTGTAGTGAATCACTGAAGTACTATATGTAACCTTATTTACTACCACATACTCCTATCAACCGCGGTCCTTCTGATCATGTAACCTTATTTACTACCACATACTCCTGTCAACCTGGTCCTTATGATCATGTGACCTATTTACTACCACATACTCCTGTCAACCGCGGTCCTTATGATCATGTGGAGACTCAGGTGTCAACACGAAATGTGTTAAATAATTATTATGTATGATACCACAGAGACGGAGTATCCAGCCCCACCTCCGAAATATGAACATTTGCATGACACCACAGGGGGGCTTTGAGTCTCTCCCGCGGCCTTCAGAAGTCGCCGAGTAGGTATTTAGTACATATTTACATTTTATTTGCTCTTAGATATTTTGAAAGTATTGCTTATTGATTTGATATTCTATACACACCGTGGGTCCTTACCTGCGCGGTCCCATGATAAGGAACGTCCTATTCCTGTCACCTGCTTTCATTTCGAACTTGTGGTTTCCGGTAAACCGGAAAAGGTATCGTTGTTATGTTTGAGTAGTCAGATACACACATTCACGCACCGTACGTCAGTTCTATGTGTCTATAAATACACACACGTACCATCCGTCGTTCAACCGGAACACTGCCACATGAACCTGTAGACGTTAGTGTGTGTATTGTGTTTATTATACTACGTATACGTACGTAGTGTGTAGGTCACGTATATGTTAACGCTACGAGCGATTATAAGTTGATGTCAGAATAGACATTCTAAGTCACGTATCTTCATTGACATAATGACCCTTTAAAAAAACAGTACATCGCTGCAGACATCTTCTTAACATTTGATGTTCACGGAAATCTTGACTGTTGACTCGTCACAGGCAGGCAGTGACGTCAGCAGACTGATAGGTAGTGCTCGAATACATATATCCTTGTTAACTGTTATAACATTTAAAACAATATACTTCGTTCAAAGCAGTCAAATGTGGATGCATTGTCTAATTTCGTAACTTTTTATCGGGTTAACATATCAAGTGTTATTCTTTATACTGTTTTATCGTGTTGATGCAGTAGTTGTCATACTTTATACTGTTTTATCGTGTTGACGTATTAGTTGTTACATTTTATATTGTTTTATCGTGACGATGTATTAGTTGTTATATTTTATACCATTTTATCGTGTTGATGTATTAGTTGTCATACTTTATACCATTTTATCGTGTTGATGCATTAGTTGTCATACTTTATACTGTTATATCGTGTTGATGTATTTGTTGTTATACTTTGTACCATTTTATCGTGTTGATGTATTAGTTGTTATATTTTATACTATTTTATCGTGTTGATGTATTAGTTGTTATATTTTATATCATTTTATCGTGTTGATGTATTAGTTGTCATACTTTATACCATTTTATCGTGTTGATGTATTAGTTGTTATATTTAATACAATTTTATCGTGTTGATGTATTAGTTGTCATACTTTATACCATTTTATCGTGTTGATGTATTAGTTGGCATACTTTATACTATTTCATCGTGTTGATGCATTAGTTGTCATACTTTATACTGTTATATCGTGTTGATGTATTAGTTGTTATATTTTATACAATTTTATCGTGTTGATGTATTACCTGTCATACTTTATATTGTTTTTTCGTGACGATGTATTTGTTGTTATACTTTAAACTGTTTGATCTTGTTGATGCATTAGTTGTTATATTTTATACTGTTTGATCTTGTTGATGCATTAGTTGTCATACTTTATACCATTTTATTGTGTTAATGAATTAGTTGTCATACTTTATACCATTTTATCGTGTTGATGTATTAGTTGTCATACTTTATACCGTTATATCGTGTTGATGCATTAGTTGTTATATTTTCTACCATTTTATCGTGTTGATGTATTAGTTGTCATACTTTATACCATTTTATCGTGTTGATGCATTAGTTGTTACATTTTATATTGTTTTATCGTGACGATGTATAAGTTGTTATATTTTATACAATTTTATCGTGTTGATGCATTAGTTGTCATACTTTATACTGTTATATCGTGTTGATGTATGAGTTGTTATACTTTATACCATTTTATCGTGTTGATGTATTAGTTGTCATACTTTATACTGTTATATCGTGTTGATGTATGAGTTGTTATACTTTATACCATTTTATCGTGTTGATGCATTAGCTGTCATACTTTATACCATTTTATCGTGTTGATGCATTAGTTGTCATACTTTATACCGTTTTATCGTGTTGATGCATTAGTTGTCATACTTTATACCATTCCATCGTGTTGATGCATTAGTTGTCATACTTTATACCATTTTATCGTGTTGATGTATTTGTTGTTATACTTTATACTGTTTGATCTTGTTGATGCATTAGTTGTTATACTTTATATTGTTACCTGACTCGCTATATAAATGCTTATTAATCAATTTCGACTGTTTCCCAGACAATTCACCAAACAACCTATAGCTAATGTGTGCTAACGTAAAACTGTTGACTGGTCGCCGTAAAACTGTTGACTGGTCACGTGAAACTGTTGACTGGTCCCGTGGAACTGTTGACTGGTCACGTGCAACTGTTGACTGGTCACATGTTAGGTAATCGAACGCACCTATAATTACAAGCACCCGGATGAGCAAGCGTTTTTGGTACTGGATTGTTGACGGTTGTCTGTCGGTAGATGTAAATATCACATTCGACATAGAACTTTTTGGTTTTTCATTGGTCAAGTAACAAAACAGTTGTTCCATGCCTTATCAGTCAACAGTCAAAACCATTTTCCCTCGGGGTTGGGACCCACCAAATGAACTGTTTCCCTCGGCCTGCGGCCTCGGGAAACAGTTCATCTAGAGAGTCTCAACTTCTCGGGAAAATAGTTTTGACTGTTGACTGATAAGGCATGAAACAACTGTATAATGTTATATCGTGTTGATGTATTAGTTGTTATACTTTATACTGTTTGATCTTGTTGATGTATTTGTTGATATATTTTATACCGTTATATTGTGTTGATGTATTAGTTGTTATATTTTATACTGTTTGATCTTGTTGACTCATTAGTTGTTATACTTTATGCTGTTTTATCGTGACGATGTATTAGTTGTTATACTTTATACCGTTTTATAGTGTTGATGTATTAGTTGTTATACTTTATACTGTTTTATAGTGTTGATGTATTTGTTGTTATATTTTATACTGTTATATCGTGTTGATGTATTAGTTGTCATACTTTATACTGTTATATATTGTTGATGTATTAGTTGTTATATTTTATACTGTTATATCGTGACGATGTATTAGTTGTCATACTTTATACTGTTATATAGTGTTGATGTATTAGTTGTTATATTTTATACTGTTTGATCTTGTTGATGCATTAGTTGCCATACTTTATACTGTTATATCGTGTTGATGTATTATTTGTCATACTTTATACCGTTATATTGTGTTGATGTATTATTTGTTATACTTTATACTGTTTTATCGTGACGATGTATTAGTTGTTATATTTTTTACTGTTTGATCTTGTTGATGCATTAGTTGTCATACTTTATACCATTTTATCGTGTTGATGCATTAGTTGTCATACTTTATACCATTTTATCGTGTTGATGCATTAGTTGTCATACTTTATACCATTTTATCGTGTTGATGTATTAGTTGTTATATTTTATACTGTTTTATCGTGACGATGTATTAGTTCTTATATTTTATACTGTTATATCGTGTTGATGTATTAGTTGTTATACTTTATACTGTTATATCGTGTTGATGTATTATTTGTCATACTTTATACTGTTTTATCGGGACGATGTATTAGTTGATATATTTTATACCGTTCTATCGTGTTGATGTATTTGTTGTTATATTTTATACCGTTATATAGTGTTGATGTATTAGTTGTTATATTTTATACTGTTATATCGTGTTGATGTATTATTTCTCATACTTTATACTGTTTTATCGTGACGATGTATTAGTTGATATATTTTATACTGTTATATCGTGTTGATGTATTAGTTGTTATATTTTATACTGTTATATCGTGTTGATGTATTTGTTGTTATATTTTATACCGTTATATTGTGTTGATGCATTCGTTGTTATATTTTATACTGTTATATCGTGTTGATGTATTATTTGTCATACTTTATACTGTTTTATCGTGACGATGTATTAGTTGATATATTTTATACCGTTATATCGTGTTGATGTATTTGTTGTTATATTTTATACCGTTATATAGTGTTGATGTATTAGTTGTTATATTTTATACTGTTATATCGTGACGATGTATTAGTTGTCATACTTTATACTGTTATATAGTGTTGATGTATTATTTGTCATACTTTATACTGTTTTATCGTGACGATGTATTAGTTGATATATTTTATACCGTTATATCGTGTTGATGTATTAGTTGTTATACTTTATACTGTTTTATAGTGTTGATGTATTAGTTGTTATATTTTATACCGTTATATCGTGTTGATGTATGAGTTGCCATACTGTTTACTGTTCTATCGTGTTGATGTATGAGTTGTTATATTTTATACCGTTATATCGTGTTGATGTATTAGTTGTTATATTTTATACTGTTTGATCTTGTTGATGCATTAGTTGATATATTTTATACCGTTATATAGTGTTGATGTATTAGTTGATATATTTTATACCGTTATATCGTGTTGATGTATTAGTTGTTATATTTTATACTGTTTGATCTTGTTGATGTATTTGTTGATATATTTTATACCGTTATATAGTGTTGATGTATTAGTTGTTATATTTTATACCGTTATATCGTGTTGATGTATTAGTTGTTATACTTTATACTGTTTTATAGTGTTGATGTATTAGTTGTTATATTTTATACCGTTATATCGTGTTGATGTATGAGTTGCCATACTGTTTACTGTTCTATCGTGTTGATGTATGAGTTGTTATATTTTATACCGTTATATCGTGTTGATGTATTAGTTGTTATATTTTATACTGTTTGATCTTGTTGATGCATTAGTTGATATATTTTATACCGTTATATAGTGTTGATGTATTAGTTGATATATTTTATACCGTTATATCGTGTTGATGTATTAGTTGTTATATTTTATACTGTTTGATCTTGTTGATGTATTAGTTGATATATTTTATACCGTTATATAGTGTTGATGTATTAGTTGTTATATTTTATACCGTTATATCGTGTTGATGTATTAGTTGTTATATTTTATACTGTTTGATCTTGTTGATGCATTAGTTGATATATTTTATACCGTTATATAGTGTTGATGTATTAGTTGATATATTTTATACCGTTATATCGTGTTGATGTATTAGTTGTTATATTTTATACTGTTTGATCTTGTTGATGTATTTGTTGATATATTTTATACCGTTATATAGTGTTGATGTATTAGTTGTTATATTTTATACCGTTATATCGTGTTGATGTATTAGTTGTTATACTTTATACTGTTTTATAGTGTTGATGTATTAGTTCTTATATTTTATACTGTTATATCGTGTTGATGTATTTGTTGTTATACTTTATACTGTTTTATAGTGTTGATGTATTAGTTGTCATAATGTTTACTGTTATATCGTGACGATGTATTAGTTGTTATACTTTATACTGTTTTATCGTGACGATGTATTATTTGTT